CCACTTACCGGTACTTCAACATTCTCTTTTGACCCGGAAGTGAGCAAAATTCCTTTGCTTTAAAAACCCGTAACAAATATCTATATCGCAACAGCAATAATTCACCTGAGAAGCATATAATAAAATTGAACGAGGACGTGTTTTCGGCTCCTCACCCAGATCCTTGATGATATGTAGCTCTTGGTTCCTCTTCTCCTCGAGATCCTGCAGGGTTTTCTCCGTGTTCTGCTCACTCTCCTTCAGCTGGGAGTCGAGGGAGGAGAGCCTGTTCCTTAGGGCTTCGATCTGCATCTCCACGCCGCTCTCCTGAGATCGTTTGATGGAGGATAGGTACTGTCTCTCCAGTGTCGCCATCTGTTGAGCGTAAGGGGAATGAGACGAAGGCGAGAACAAAAAAAAGGAAAGAAAGTTGTGGTGAATATCAGGCAGTCGGGGAAGATTTTTTTTTTTTTTTTTTTTTGGGGGGGGGGGCGGAGGGAGGAAAAATTGGTAATGGAAAGAGAGGAGGGAGGGAGAGAGGGTAGTGAGGGGGAAAGGGGGGAAGGTTGGTTAAAAGAGAGAGAGAGAGGGTAGTAACTGAGAAAAAGGAAGAGTGAGGAAAAATGGTAACGGGGAAAATGAAAGAGAGAGAAAGAGATGATAGGGGGGAAAGGGCAGGCAGGGAGAATAGTGACCATAAAAGAATAGACAGCGTGAATGTATTTAGGAAGAATACAGAGGAGAGAAAAGAAGGGCAATGGCGCGAAAAAAAAATCCAGGGACGAGCGCTTTGGGATAAAAAGGAGGATCACGTGTTTTTGGAAGTAGGTCTTTGAGGTCAGGCTGTGTTAAAAATCAAAGGAGCATTTGGTTCGTCTTTAGACACCAGACGGCTTAGGCAATAAACAGCTATGTTTCATGCCAAGTCATGAATGACATAGAGTCCTATGTCCATGACTTCCTGATGGTGTTTTTTATCACATACACACACTGAAACACACACTGAAACACACACCACACACACACACACACACACACACACCACACACACACACACACACACACACACACACACACACACGCACGCACGCACGCACGCACGCACGCACACACACACACACGCACACGCACACGCACACACACACAAAGCACGAATGTACCTGGGCTTCCTTATCAATACACAAGTCCTACATGCATTCTACATATCAATTACAAAAAAAAAAAAAAATCTTTAAACTTATAAACTAATCCCCGATTAATCCTAGTGCATGTCCCTTTTCCTATACCATGAACAACTGTAAGTATAAACCCCCCTCGTACAAAAAGTACAAATGCATAAAGCCCAAACAAAGTAAGAACACATTTATGTACCAATTCCACGAAGAAAAATACACGTTAAAAAAAGAAGAGAAGAGAAGAGAGAGAAAAAAAACGTAAACACAGCGTCAAGCCCCGAGTCAAAAAGCACATCAGATATTAAGGGAATACCAGCTTTAAGTCCTAGTCTATAAGATCTGTTTTCCAATATTACAAAAAAGCAAACTCGTCGCTGCCTAATGTCTCCCACTTCCCGCCTTTCGGACTGGAATCTTCGCGTGGCATTTCCGCGTCGAAGTTTGAGCAGCATTTCCTCTGCAGGATTAGTATAATTTCTGTGCATGCTGCGTAGCGCATACTGCGTGTGTATATGTGGGTGGGAAGCAGGGATGTTTGTTTGTGTGTCTGTGTCTATGAATGTGTGTGACTGTGTTTGTTTGTTTGTGTGCGCCGTGTGTGCTGTGTGTGCGTGTGTGTGTGTGTGTGTGTGTGCTGTGTGTGTGTGTGGTGTGTGTGTGTGTGTGTGTGTGTGTGTGTTGTGTGTGTGTTGTGTGTGTGTGTGTGTGTGTGTGTGTGTGTGTGTGTGTGTTGTGTGTGTGTGTGTGTGTGTGTGTGTGTGTGTGTGTGTGTGTGTGTGTGTGTGTTGTGTGTGCGTGTGTGTGTGTGTGTGTGTGTGTGTGTGTGTGTGTGTGTGTCGTGTTGTATGTGCGTATACGTGGCCGTGTGCTCGTGTGTATGTCTACACGTACTGCAGTGCATAGCATACACATACATCCGCACCTACACACATACAGTTTGACCTAACCAAAAAAAAAAAAAAAAAAAAAAAAAAAAAAAAGAGAGAGAGAAACAAAAAACCTCTCGACCGCCATCAAGCCCTTCCCTCTCCCTCCAGCACCCGGAGCCAGGAGAGCGCCAGCCCCTTTACCTTTATCGCCGTGGAGTTTTTCCTCTGGCGGAGTAGCACGGCTTTCCGGAGTGCGGATTGCTGGGCCTCGTGCTGAGCCCGGTCGTACTCGTTCACCACTTCGCCCGCTGTCACGACCCAAGCACCAGCCTGCAAGCAGATACAGCTCAGAAAAAGGTTTTCCTGAAGATTGAAGTGCTCTTTGTAGGCGAAGTTTTTTTTTTTCTCTCTTTCTCTTTTCTTTAAAGGAAGTGACGTTCATGTAAGTTTTCGTTGCAAGTATTATATAAAAAGAAA